TTTATTTTGATTGTCTTGCTGTTTTTGTCTACATTCGGAAATACTATGTCCGTATCGTCGGCAATAATTACACCATTTTTTGAAAGATGGTTTGCCTTTAAAGTTTGGGTTCTTTTCGTAAATATTGAGTATTTCAGTGATTTTTTCAACGAGGTCTGTCTCTGATTCCTGTATATTATTAATATTAGTGGGAGTCGTTTCAATTCTGTTAACGTATTGTAATTTCAGATTTTCCGTTTCTTCTAGTTTCATCGTGATTTCTGCTTGTTCTAATTTGTCTACTAGTTTTCGAAAATCTAAATCGGGTTCTCGAATTGAAGAAGGATGGGATGCTCTCTTTTTTATTGCTATTTTCCTTAATTGTGGTGTTAAGGTCATCATTAAGATTTCTGTCATCTTTGTGTTTTTATAGTCGTGTGTATTTAATGAATATGCTTTTCGAACTAGTGTTTCGATTCGTACTGCTATTTGCTTGATGGTTTCGTTTGGTAATCTGCGAATTTCATTACATAAAACTCTTTGTTGTTGTTTGTTTCTTTCGGAGTCAAACATTTTTGAAAAATCCTGTGTAAACCTTTTCCAGTTTGATTTTATTTCTAGAGGTAGTACCGAAAACCATTTTTGGGCTGCGCCATCTAAGGTTGTTTGTATTAACGCTGTGCGTCGATGTATCCAATTTTGATGTAGTGGCGTATTAATTGGTTCAGGTCCAATATTTAAAATCAGGTTTGCTGTTACTGCATTTAAATAATCTTCTACAGAGTATTCAGGGTCTGTTCCTGTGAAAACCATTAAAGGTTTGTTTGATGTTATTGATGATCCACCCATAAGGTATGGATTCATTGTCATTTGTAATGATTCTGCTGCATTTGGCATTTGAGAAAAATTTGAAAGTTGGTTTCTTGTTATTTCATGTTGTTGGAGATAATATGGGAGTGGTATTTCATTTTGCATTTGTGATGCTTGATACGAGTGTGCAGTCATTTGATTTTGTTGTTGAATTGGTTGAAAAGATTGTGTATTAATTAGATTTTGTTGTTGAATTGGTTGTTGATGTTGTGCATCTATTGGTTGTGGAGAAAAATTTCTATGATTTGTACGTGTTCTCTGTATTCCTTGTCTACGATATTCTTGAGTATTTGGTGCAAATATATCTGGTTGTAAGAAATCATCATCTGAGGATAAATAATCCATTTGATAAGATGTCTGTTTTTTATTTTTATTTTGTTGAAAAAATGGGTAATTTTCACTGTGATCCTGTGGAGGATTTGTTTGGAAATTTATTGAATTAGGTTGGGTCATTGGGTTATCCCAATTTCGAGATCTTGTATATTGGTTAAAATTTCTTTGTGGTTGGTTATATGTTTTTGATGGATGTGTATAATTATAATTATGGTCTGCAAAGTTGTTTCTAGTGAATGTTTTGCGTGTTTTTGATGGTATTGTCATGGGTCTGTATGTTTGGTAATCCATATGTGAATATTTAGGAGCAACCGAAGGTTTAACGGTTGATTGTAAGGTTACCTGTGTTTGTGAAGGATTTGTATTTCTTGGTGTTGTTAAATTTGGGCGTATTGGTGAAATACTTTGTTGTGTAGTTGTTGTGTGTACAATTTCTTCATTTATGAAGTGTGATGGTGTCTGGATATCTTGTTGAGTAAGATTCCTAGTTCCATTGAGGTTTTCATTGTGTATGACTGTAGAGTTTAAACTATTATTTTGTAAAATCGGGCAAAAATGTATTATAGTTTAATGGTGTTGCATCAATGGTTAATGGTATTACTTTTACATAATCTCTTATGTAAGATATCGTACTTATTGCTTGACTTGAGATTGATTGTGGGAAGCTTATAAATGCGGGATGAGACCATTCGGGGTCCCAAACATAATCTGATTGTTCTGTGATAGCGGTATCATCGTTCGAGTTTTGGGGTCTAAAATTTTTTCTTGCTTGTGCAATTAAATCAATATTGTGTGTGAAATAATCTATTATGAACCATGCCAAAATTTTTTGTAGATCGTGTTTTGTATGTTGTGAAACGTCGTCTTTCGTGAAATTTTCTTTAATGATGTTTAAATAACTAGAGAGTAGTGTGATTTCATGTCGTACTCTTAAATGTTTAGATGTTTCTGTCGGTGAGACATTTGTTATTGGGATTTCGTTTTCTAATATCGAAATATAACTATATATTATTGCGAAAACTTCATTGGTGAATATGGAGTTTGCTCTTTGTGAGTTATGATATTGGATGCTTTTTATATATTCTGAAAAAACTTTTGAAAATTCTAAATCAAGATCGTCTGTTTGGATTGTATATTTTCTATTATTATGGTTTGGTGAGGTGAATTCTATGGAGTAGATTCCATACTGTTGTGTTATGTTGCATATATCTTTTAAGTAGTGGTCTATGATTTGTCTTTTGATTTTTACATCTGGGAACTCTGTTTTACATGGACTGATTCCGGGTTCAAATAAATTTAATAGTAAATTTTTGCAAAATATATGCTGTCCTCTATCAGTGGGTGCATCTACTATAAAGGGGAAAATATCATCATCATCTGGACTTTCTTCACCTGGGGTGTGCGTTGAGCTCATTTTTTCGTTCGATGACTGTTAATATGTAATTATTAATGTGTCGAATTGGTTGATTCCAATTGTATAAATGTACTGGTTTGTGTTTATACTGCTTTTTTATTCTTCTTTTTCCTCTTTTTGATGAATTTGAAGTTGTTTCTGAGTCAGAAAAATATAATTGATCGTAAAGTGGGCAATTTTTATCTATTGATTCTTTAAGTTTGTAAAGTTCGTCTAAACTGTTGGTTTCTGATTCTGAAAATGCGTTTCGATTTTTTGAAAATCTTTTTCGTGTTATTTGTCTTTGTTTCGTTATTATTTTTCTTTTTAGTGTTTGTCGTTTTGTTCGAATGTATCCAACTGTTTGTGTATGAGGTGTGATTACAAGGTCGTATTTTTTGTTATCTATTTCACAATTGTGTAAAACGATTGTTTGTTTATTTCCTAGGTTTTTAAATGACATAAGGTTTAGGATGACGGATGCAAAAGGTTGTTAAATGATTTCTATTTTCTTAAACTGTTAGTTCTTACGATTTTTTGGTTAGCTTAACCTGGGTCTATTTGTTCAGGGTTGGAGAGAAAAGTATATCGATTCCGAAGAATGATTTTTTACTTTCTCGTGGCTAGTATAAGTTAAGGTGTTAACTTACTTAATCTTACTTAGGGGTAGTGATTGTGTTCAAGGGTTGGAGAATAGTAAATCGATCCACAAGGTTCAGGTATAATTAGAACGCGAGTAGTTCGTTAGATACTATTTTAAACTTACTAAGTCTAAGATTTATCCTGGTTCTGGTAAGAGGGGGGGTCAAGTGAAGGATGAATAACCGAAGTTCTTCACTGTTTATCCTAATTTGAATGATTAGTTTTGTTTAAAAATTTCTATTAGTCTTAGGTCTTTAGAAAGGGTTGGGTAGTGAATCGACGTTTGAGGTCGTTAGACACTAATTAAGTGGGTGGGGGAGAACAAAGTTGTTCTGTTTGATCCAAGGATAAGCCTTGATGATCAAATTTGAAATTTAATTAAGTAGAAAATGATTTAAGATCCAAGGATAAGCCTTGATGATCTGATTTTAAAATTAAGTGAATTTAAGTTTAAAATGATTTAAATTTGTGTAAAGAAAAGATTTATTATTTTTATGATATTAGTGAGCTTATGAATGCTGTTATGTTTAGGCGATGAAGCTGGAACAACAGGATGATTTATAATTACTAATCATTTATTGTCATGCTACTAATTTTTATTTTTATTTTTCAATAAATATTTTTCAAACATGTTTTGTATATTACTGCAGAATTTTAGGAAAACGATCTTAGATCTTTTTATCAATCGTTATTGTATATTAATAATTTTGTTTAGCGCCTGAAATGATTTTGAAGATTGACTTCAAAATTTTATGTTTGCAAATGAAAATCTAAATTCATTGCTAGTAGTATTCTAAATATAAAAGTTTGTTCTGGTTTTTGCCTAACTATCATATAGCTATATGGCAAGTTTCTACTTTGTCGTATGTCGTCTCTGGTTCGAGGTCTTCTTCCAATTCCGGGTAGTTCTGTTATGGTTCGGAATATTGGCTCTGATCTATTGAGTCGTAGAGACATTTCGATTAAATTATTGTCGTATAACATTTTTTAAATGTTTTTGTCTAATTTCTAGTCTATTTTGGTTAATTCTAAGCTATTAAGGTCTTGTTCGAGACTTATGGTCGCACCAGATGAGTTAGGACCGAGTTGGTTAACTCATAGAGTAATTTCGGATAGGGTACACCGTCTGCTCGTCACGCTATCTTATTTTCGGCCGGATAGATTCGTGCAACTTCTTAGTCTAATACCGATCCTAATCTTACTCTTATACTATCTAGTCTCAGGTTGTTTAACTAGTCTCTGCTAGGCTCAATAGATCTAGGGTATACTGGTTTATTGCGGCTGCTGAAGTGCTCGGGAGAGTCCAACTAATTTCTAAGTTAAATTCAAATCTCTCTGGTGCTGAAATTACAAGTAACTTCAGCACTTACAAATAAGTGGGTTGTTAGTTAGATGGATCATGATTGGTTAATATTAAATACTTTACATTGGTAAAATATCTAATTTATCCAATCATAAAATGTAGTTTAGATCAGGTTCCATTTCGTAAAACAATGATGAAAAATCATGTGCAGGATGATTTTAATGCTATTCATTTGCCTTTTTCACGGAACCATTTTATATATTAAGACAGTTTTTGAAAAAAAAATCGAAATCCAGGATTTGGTACATTTAGAGCAAATCGACCAGTGGACAAAGTTCTGGATTAGCTTGCCAATAATTAATGTCGTCGAAAAAGTGCCTATGAGATACTGTGTACAGGGTTATGCGTGTAAGGGTCAAAATCCTGGGAAAGGGGTAGATCATCCAAAATTATGAATGACCAAAATCATTCATGGCTAACCCGTTAATTTGCTGTTGCATTTTGGCAAACTGCTCCATGAACTCATTTTTAAACATGTCGAGCTGTCTGTTAGCCATTTGGGCGGCAGCTCCTTCCGAGCTGTTCTGCCGTCCTGCTCCTGTAGATGAGAACTCCATTTGGTCACGGATTGAGCGCATGTCTTCACGCATGTCTTTCAGAGCTGACTCTTGAGTTAATTTTTCACGCTCTAGGGATCTTATCGTGTCGTATAAATTGTCCATTTTCTAAAAAGATTAAATTAGGTTGTCCATTTTATTTCTCAGAACTTTAAAGAAACCTTAATGACTGTTTTTGCGTTTTTGAGAATTTTTTGTAGGTTTAAATTAGCGAATTGCATTTTTCTAGTCGCCTGAACACCCCCTTTAAAAAATTCTACATTGGCGTGAAAAGATGCTTTTCCAAGGTTAAGACTTGACTAAAAAAGGATAGATTGATCCTAAATGGAATTGATCATTTCAAACTTCAAATGGATATCGTAAAATAGTACAAAACGGTAAAATAGAACCCTTTGAAAAACTTAACCCCCTCGTCCCTGGCTAGCTACTTCTAAAGTCTTATCCAAAAAATAATTAAGAAAACTGCACATTAAATTTTCCAATCATTTAAAATCAATGCTAACTCTTTGTTGTGAGTCCACCTTCTGTTTGAGCATGGTGCTCTGTCCAAAGTTCTCTCTGTCTTCGTACCTACAAAACAAACAATACTGCTCGTATCAGGGCGAAGCCCTGAATGTTCCGACTGCTTTTGAAGGTTTATGGAGCAATGTAAATTAAATGTAAGAAAAAAAACTAAACTATTTTTTTCTAAAATTTGAAATTTTTTAAATGAAAATCATCCCCCCACACGCCATACAAAGTGCAAAAGGATAGATTTTGCTCCTTGTAACAAACCAATTATGGCGAAAAAGCTGTTTTTAGCCAATTTGGAACGATTTCTAAGACGGATTACCTCTCAGCTTACGCGTGAATAGCGCAAAATATATCTTTAATGGCAATCTTTAAACCCCCATAACTAAACAAAAAATGATCACAGGTGAAATATCTTTTCAAATTTGAGCTCAGGACAACAATACTTTTCGAATGGTTTTGAAAATTCCGTCAAAAATGGCTAGTTAAAAACTCGAAACTTGTCTGAAGAAATAAAAACCCACCCCGAGCACAAATATTCCTTTACTTTTGTATCGTAAAACGGAACAAAAACAAGCTGTTTTTTTGTTAGAGTTCCAATTGTATGAACTGCTGAAAATATTGTCTGAATTTCTCAGATGCAAAAGCCAATAACAAATTTTGAACGAGCTTATAAGTGATAACAAGACTGCTCGTATCAGGGCGAAGCCCCGAATGTTCCGACTGCCTTTTGAGGTTTATGGAGCAATAAAAGTATAAAAAATTAAATGTAATAAATTAAAAAGAAACTTTTTTTTCTAAAATTTTTTATGGAAATCATCTCCCCACACGCCATACAAAGTACAAAAGGATAGATTTTGCTCCTTGTAACAAACCAATTATGGCGAATAAGCTTCTTTTAACCAATTTGGAACGATTTTTAAGACGGATTAACTCTCCGCTTACGCGTTAATAGCGCGAAAGATATCGCGCGTTAATTGTCCCAAATTGGCCAAAATGGCAATCTTTAAACCCCCGAAACTTTACGAAAAATGATCACAGGTGATATATCTTTTCAAATTTGAGCTCAAGACAACAATACCTTTCGAATGATATAAAAAAAATCCGTCAAAAAATGGCTAGTTAAAAAATCGAAATTTGTCTGAAGAAACAAAAACCCCACCCCGAGCACAAATATTCCGTTATTTTCGTATCGAAAGTCGGAACAATAAAGTAAACAAAATTTTAGAATTACGCAGTGTGTCAGTTTTTGTTCAGCTAAAAAAAATGTTAATCATTGTTCTAAATTAAAATCCTGTTTTTCTTGAGAATGTAAGCCAGACTGCTCGTATAACAGGGCAAAGCCCTGAATGTTCCAACTTTTCCTTAATTCATATCGAATAGTTTTTGGGAAAAGAAAATATTGAAAATCAATACATTTTGTACAATATCAAAGTGCAAAATTTTGAGTCGTATGAAATTAATACGACCACCAATTAGTTCGCCTCAACTCACCTTGAAACGAGTTTGTTGTGTGGGATAATTATCCGCGCATAAACAATTCGCGTTACGCTCTTGACATTATGAATAAATTCTTCAAAGCGCGCATAATTTAGTCCATAACATGGCAAATTTGGCATTTTTCAAACCCCCAGAACTTTACAAAAAAATAATCAGAGATGAATTATCTTTTTTTATTTGAACTCAGGAAGTCAATATCTTTATTGGGGCATAAAAAGTTTTTTGTTGAAATTCATTATTTCGATCGGTGAAAATTGACTGAATAAAAAAAAACACACCGAGCATAAAAATTCCGTTTTCTTCGAAAGTCGGATCAAAAATTCTGGATATCAGCAAGTTAAAATTTTCAATCATAATTTTTAGAATGCTTAAGAGCTTTTATGGACAATTTCCAATATTTAAGTTTAATTAATTTAAATTTTCTACTTTGTTCTGGCAAAGAGTCCTTTGCTTGTTTTCAGGCTAAAATCCATTTAAAGTTTCAGTTTCAGATTAGTTTCAAGATCTAACATTGAAAATTTTGTTTCTCACCCAGAATTTAAGAATAAAACTAAACTGCCGCTCTGAGACACCTGTGAACGGACCTGTAGGTCCAATGGTGCTCTCCCGCGCAGTATAATTGTTGAAGCGGTTAGTATTTTTTTGTTTAAAATAACTACCCAAAATTTAACTGTCTGAAAACAGTTTAGCCATTGCTTAATCAACCTTCGATTATTGTCCTACTGTTAATATGCATCTGGCTAGTCAGCTCAGAAAACTACGAGCAAAATTTTTGGGCGCTGAAGCAAATAGTTTGAGCCCAGTTTTTAATAAATCGCAAATTTTGTAATAGAAAATAGTTTGCTACCTACTAAAGCGTTATGTAATTATCTTAGCCTTACTCGTCAATGTTGGGCACATCGAAGGGCCGTTGACTGGGAGCTAAGCTCCTCTGCTCTGTAGCTGGTCTCTGTGACGTCACGCGCGTGAGATCGAGTCCCGTACCTGTCGAATATTTTGTGATATTCTTGTTCACTTCAGTCTCGTTGGCTTTTGTGCTTGGATGTATCGACGTGTTGGCAGTTCGTCCAGGTTCGGAGATGATAGTTCGGACTAGTTGTTGTGAGTTGGGGTTGTGAATTGGAGTCGTGTAGCGCATAGTCGTCTCTCGTGAGTCGTGCACCAGCCGAGGAGCTCCTAGTTCCATCTCGTGATCTTCGTATCCCAAAACTAGGAAAAACTTCTTGTTATAATTTTTGATTTGAAATGGATAGTCAAACTTTTTTAGGTTTGATGATTGAGGGCATAAATATCACAAACAACATCAACAAAGATGCGCAAAAATTTTCAGTTATCGTAAATATGGTTAACAGCGCCTACAACTGAAGCTCATATGAAGGTTCTTTTTCATGCAGACAAAATATTAGATGAACATTGATTTTAGGAGCACTTAAGATTACTGCTCTCTTCCGTAATAAGCGTTTAAAACTAAACGCTCAGCGTGTAAGAAACATTGTTTCATAGAAAGTGAGTAAATCAAAATGATTCGCAAAAACAAATAGAGTTGCAGTTTGAGGGCGCGAGTATTCGTTTCTCTGAGGTTTCCCTTGTGGGACCTTTAAACGAAACCTTTTTTGTTCAACCACCATTTTACCTAAATTTGTTGGGGGCAGCGCGCGTCAAAAAGAAGGTTTTTAGTCAAAATATTCACAAAACCCCCTCAAAATGGCTGTTTTTTTTTCACATATTTTCTTACGTAATTTAATTAAGCTCAGAAAATCAGTTTGGTTGATCGGGAAGTCACCTAGAATAAAAAAAACGACAATTTATCTGAGAAAAATTTACCATGCTTTAGCTGTTTATCGCGCTCCTTTAAGTTTTCTCGCTCCTGCCAGATTCGGTACAGCACATCCCTTCCACTTCTGTAGTAATCATCGGCTCCAAACAGATCCTTGTGCGAGTGGGTTGTCCTCCTCGCCTCCGCCCTCTCTCGCTCGTCGCTCATTCGTTTCGCTCCCAGTTCAACTATTCTCCTCTCGTTCGGACTCGGGTTCGCTTCGGCTTTGGAGTCGTATCGTCGGAAGTTAGTCCAGTATGTCTCGGGCGCCTCGTTCATTATCCTGCTCTTAGATTTCTTGTCCTTTAAATATACCTTAACTTAATCATATTGCAAAAATGCCACAGCTAGATTTATTGATTTCAGAATTTGAGTAATTTGGGTAATTTTTGTCACAAACAATTATCATTTTTGCATGTTGCGGCAAAATTATTTTGTCTATTGGCTATTAGTTATTAAATTTGGAAAATTTTTGGAAAAAGTACTTTTTGTTAAAATGGAAGAAGGAAAGCACTTATTTTGGATCTACTTAACAATCTCCACTTTTAAGAAAAGGGGGAGATTATTAAGTAGATTAAAACTGTCGAATTTTCGACCAATCAGAATGCAGCAAAACTAGAAGTCGCTATAGAAACTTCTGTGCTAATTTACTGTATTAATTTATAGGGGGGAATTGATAAGTAAATCACTATAGGGGAGGGGGGGGCGGGGGAGATTGTTAAGTAGATCCTTATTTTTTAAGGACAAATTTGTTTGGTCGTATCTCTTTGCAGTTTAAATTTAAAAAAGCTTTAAAACACCTGTTGTTTTTCATAGTATGTTTTCCGTTTCAATTTATCAGCTGCCGATGTAGCCCTTCCCCAATTGATTACGTCATCGTCGTCGCCACTCTCATCGTCCAATGAAACTCGAGCTCCCTTGAAAAACAATCAGGGTTTACAAATGTCGAAGGATTTTAAAGTGCGGTTGCAGTTTATATTCACAATCTTAAGATAACTCTGTATATTCACCAGGGGCGGATCTATGATTTTCAAAAATGTTTTGAAAACTTTGTCGACCTTTTTTGGGTACTTTTTGGACAATTTTGACAAAAATTGCGTTTTTTTTTCGGTGCGCGCTCCCCTTCAAAACTTTTATATAGTGGAGCCAAAGGATCCTTTATAAAAATTATAAGTTTGGTTCGCCTAAAAGAGATGTCAAAAAATAATACCAAAGGGAGGACCCTTTGGTTGGAGAAAGGGGCGATAACTGGGAAAAAAAAGCCATCCGCCCCTCCCGTCCCCCTAAATCCACCCCTTTATTCACCACTGGTTCGCGATTAAGCGCCTCTCATTGAATAAATATCCGATTTTTGAAGGAATATTTTTGCTTGGGATGGTATTTGTTTTCAGTCATTTTCGACTTTTAACAAAGTATATTTGTCAAAAAAAATTTTTACACCAGCAGAAAAATATCGTCATCCTGAGCTCTAATTTGATAATATTGCTCTTATATCAGGGCAAAACTCTGAATGTTCCGTTTGAAATCTATAACGCCAATTTAAAAAAAAAAACATTTGTTTTAATAAATGAGAAATAATTGGAGAAAAAAAAATGGTTATATATTTTCGCGTCGCGATTTGTTTTTAAAAGACTAAAATTCATTTTGAAACGCTCTAATCCTCTTGTGCGTATTTTAAAAAGTGACTGAATAAGAAAAGCCACACCAAGCGAAAAAATTCCGCACTTTCTTCGAGTTGAAACAAAAAGATTGTGATTGTGCTTTCTCACCTGTGGCTGTTAAGATATGGGGTATCGAAAATAGCAAATTTGGCCAATTACGGATCATTGACGGGCGATATATTGCGTGTTTATTACACGACGCGGCAAATCAAATCATTCCCATTTGAGTAGAGGCCAGCGATTTGGTCTTAATTACACGGCGGTACAATACAATAAAGTACAATGAAAATATATACTTTTTCTTTTTTTTAATCGTTTTAACAATTTTTCAACATCTTTTTCATCGGCTTTTTTCATGGGACCTTCAGGGCTGTCTCTGATAAATGAGCATCATTGTCAAATCAAAATTATACTCGAATTGTATCTTATGGGTTAATTTTTAGAAAAGAGATCTCTTGAACACTTTGGTTCATCTGATTACCAAGTGTTACCACGAAACAAAAGTTTCATAGAGATCCTTTCATATTAGTGAAAAGGTTTCCACGATAGATGTAAAATAAATCTTCCGAGTCAATCATGAAACTAAATCAATTTGCTGATGTTTGGTGATTAAAAATCTTAAAATATTTATCACAAAAAACTCTAATGGGGAAGAAATGAAAAAAAAAACCTTAAAAATCTGAATTGATTGGAAAACTTTAAAAACATTTTTCTCATTTTTCATAAGAATCAACGTCTACAAAAAGCATAAAAAATAAGCAGTTGTGTTGCAATTTTGAAGACAAAATAGACAAAAAAAAGGTTTATAATCAATTATAATCGATTTAAGGGATTTTTGTGCAAAATTAATTGAATAGAAATTTGAATAGAACTGATTATAATTGTATCGAAAGATAGACGAACAAATAATCAATTATAATTGATTATTATGGATTAAGATTAATTGTAATTTGATTTTAAAAAGAGAGATTATAATCGATTATTAATTGATTAAGCTCGAATGTTTCTCCATTTTAGTAAAACTGGTACTAAAATCGCAGTAAAATCTATTATTACCGCTTGAACCTAGATGCCGGCTGTTTTTTTCCTTAAAGAAGCAGCGGAAGCATTTATCCTGGTCGTAGTTTAAGTTATGATACTTTCTAAGTTGAAGGTTCTAACGTGAGGCAAAGCGATATAAAGGAAACTGCTCCTATCAGGGCAGAGCCATAAACTTTCCGAATGTCCTTGATTGTCGATAAAAAACGTTTTTTTTTTAATCAAGCAAATCTGTAAAAATGTGCCAAAATAAGGAATTTTACCATATAACGTATTAATAAGTGGAAAATGTTGTTCTCGATTCAATTTAGAATGATTAAGTTTGCCACTAACCTTTTATTAGGGCAAAAGATTTTGCGCGTAATTTTTCCTTTTTTGATTAAAATTGGAGTTTAGACATGAACATCTTTCAGATGACCGAATTTTGCTTTTTAGGCAATGAAATAGCTCAGTCAAATCAAAACTAGTCGTATCAGAGCGATGTATCGAATGATCCAAGTGGCCTTGAATACCTGTAATTATTGCTTTTTTATATGAAAAAAAAAGATGCAGGTTGATTTTTTCCTTCGCCCCTGCAAGGAAGAGCAAGTAAAAAGCAGTATAATTAGTCTTTCAAATCTAACTATCTCTAAAAAATTGCGATAAGAATGACTCAGTGCAATTTAGAGGGAGAATGGTGGCAACCACAGTGCGAATTGACTGGAAAAAATTCAGACTCGATCGTGTGAACACAGTTTCTAATGTAAAAAGCACAATACCAGGTTTAAACACCCTTGCTTTTCGCAACGGCGAAAAAAAGTTTTCGCTGGTTTTTGTCAAAAAAATAAGACGATTAACCTTCAGAGTCTTCCTCCTTCGTTTTCTCAGATGTGATATGTATGAGTTGAACCAGTCCGTATCCTTCCGGAAGTCAGTTTCCATGTCTGGATCTGAGAAGTATCCAGGGTGCGTTTTTGTATTGGGCACAGTGGCCATGTAATGAGTGCTTGACGCTCCTGGTTTTGATAAGACCCCTGAAAATAGAGAAAATTTTCTATTAAGCGAAAAAAATATCTAGGCCTTAAACTAAGAAAAGCCATTTAAGGTTAATTTGAGATGCTGGAAAAAAAACGTTTTTTTTTTAAATCAAAGATGCAATAAAAAAATTGCCGTAGAACAATTTAAAATAATTAATAAATTTTTCTTCAAAAAATCTGATGAACCTTGTGTTAATTCCATCCTTCAAATTTGCCAGAAAAAAATAACTAGAAAAAGGTTGGCATCAAAACACAGTGTGCAAATTTGCTTCTAAAAGCACCTGTTAGAAGGAAAAGAATTCGGATTTATTTTAAATTGTCAAAAAATATTCTTTGAACATCTTGGAAAATCCTAGTTTCCTCAAGTTCACTTGGCTTAAATGATTTGAGTTAGGACCAGCAAAATAGGCGAGAATGTTGCAAAAGATAAGCGGAAATCTATTTGGCTAAAATTTAAATTTTTGAGGAGTTGCGGTGAAGTGGTTGCGTCTCCGCTACTCCATCGAAAAGTCATTCGAGGGATATTCGAGGCCTAGCATGATCTGTGCTCGTTGCTGGAAGGTGAGGCAATATTTACAACCAAGAAAAATAACCAAAAAATTTCCTATACATCTTAAACAGAGGAGCAACAGCGGTTTCCCATGAACAGCTGAACAACGCGTATGTTGCTTCCTTTACCTTGTGCATAATTTTTTTTCAGTGGGTAATCTTTCGTTTTAATTATATAAAATTAAGCCGTGCTCAAGGCCAGCTGACGAAAATACATTGCAAACCAAACACAAAACGTCAGTTCATACTGTGCATAAGCCATTGAAAATATTAAAGCGAAAGCAACAAAAGTTTACTTAAGAAAAAAACAAATGAGTTATACTTCAAAAGGCTCAATTTTAAACCTATCTGACCTTGCAATCACCAACGTATCTTGATTATGACAGAATTAGTGGCCAGCTAAAAATCAATCCCGAAATTTTTCAAGTCAGAAACTTGTAAACTTGAGCATTTATTAACCAATGAAATCTTTTCACTCTGCCCGTTCGCACGCAAAAAATGGAATTAAAAAACATTTGGGCGCTGCAGAACCTCTAAAAGCTGTGTGCTTTATGACGTTCCGAAATATTTTATCTTTTAAATTTAGCTGTTAGTACTTCATATTTCATCTCAATAGTTTGCTTACAGTTTACAGAATTTCCGATTTTGACCTCGAAGCAATCTGGTAAATTTTACTGGATACATCCGGCAACAAATTGCGAATACGTACTTTTTTGCAATTATAAAAGAACACATAAATCCGTATTTTTGATTTAAGACTTTACAGTTGCAGATGATTTTATCGATTCCGGTACAGCTTCAAAAATTACCTTTTTTCTATTTCGAGAGCTTAGCCGTAACTGTACCATGTTGTGCTGATCACACTTTTCTAAATTTTTATACGATCTTGCTGCTTTCATTAGACACAAAGCTGTGCTTCCCAAAAACTCGCGAAAAAAAACAACTGATCCTTATAAAAGAAGCCAATTAATGTAGAAAAAAAAACATTTTTTGATTTTAGAGTTAAGAATAAATTGCATAATCTTGAAGCTCTTCTGAAATCCAATTCTTCACAGACAAAAGTACTCAATCTCATTCATTCAACAGACTAATAGCTTTTTTTACAGGGCTTAGGATCTTTGGAAAATGTCACAAATAATTTCATTACTTAAAGCGAAAATTCACTCCGCAAATAATAGCTACAGAAATGGTAAAATTGAGCTCAAAAACTCAATAAAATCAGCAAATAAATCTTTAAAGAAATTGTTTCTTGGAAAGACAAAACAATTAAAGCGGAAAGATTTATACCGAAAATCTGCATATGAAGAGTCTAAGCGAGTCTAACCTCAAATATAAGCAGCTTTAATTGCGTTTCTTTCAGTCGGGTATATCTAAATCCTATTCAAAATTGCTAGAAAAAAAACAGAAACTTAACAATATGTCAAAATTTAAGACGGAAAATAGCAGGAAAACGAGTTACACAGGCAGTCTTTTCCAAAATAGGCGCCTTCCTTGGAGAGAAAACAGCCTAAAAGGGGCGTGATAAGGTTGAAAAGGTGCAAAACAAAATATCATGATATTATTTGCATTTTTTGTTCCGACTTTTGAAGAAAGTTCGGAACATTTATGCTTGGTGTGGTTTTTTCCACTTGTTAACTAAGCATTTTTGATGGATTTTTTTACACCATCTGAGAACTATTGTTATCCTAAGCTCAAATATAGAAAGATATTTTACCTGCGATCATTTCTTGTAAAAATACGGGCGTTTGAAAATAGCTAATTCTGCTAATTTGAGATAATTAAAGTGCGATATATTGCGTACTTATAACAAGCGTAAGAACCAAATTAAGGCAATCCAAATTAAATTGAGGGCAGCAATTTAATCTTTTTATACAATAAGAGACGCTAAACACACCCCTAATATTTTACATAGCCTGTTGGGGTCAAAATGAAGAAAAGTTGAAGGAAAAATTCTTCTATTTTCTCAATTATTTTGACAATTACTAAACCAAAAAAAAATTCAATTGGCCTTAAGTGCAGACGGAACAATCAGGGCTTTGCCTTGTTATACAGACAGTTTTGTTTATACAAGGCCTATTTAAATTATCCAGTCGAAAAATGAGCAAAGTTTGCATTTTAAAAGGCATTTTTGTCATGTTGAGTTGTTGAGAACCAAAGTCGCTTAGGTTTTTACAATAATTATTATGATGCAATCTATTTTGCGGTTTTTGAGACCAAATTTTTGCCCCAACAATGGGTCAAACAGGGCTTCTTTTGGTCAATCAAAAATTGCGCTAAATCCAGTGAATCAATATACAAAATGAGCCTCTCATACAGCCCAACCACGTTTCACATTGATGAAACTTCCATAAAAATGCGCAAAACGTATAAAAATTGTTTTCAAACAAAAATTGAAGTTTTTTATTGAAGATGACATTTTCGGCTATCAAACAAAAATTATATTCATTTATGCATATTTTCGGAGGTTACATTTTTCTAAGACTTTGTTGGGTTATATGAGAGGCTCACTTTGATTTATCACTTAGTTTTTGATTGACTAAAAGAAGCCAGAAGCACACATTTTTGTTGAAACATTTTGGCCCAGATTTTCGCAAAAAATATAGCATCATAATATTTCTGAAAAATTCTAAGCATGTTTAGTTTTCAACCTTTTTGTCTAATCTCAACCCAATTTGTGAGAGACGCGTTTGAATTTTCAAGTGTTGTTCATTTTGTCTGAGACAAGCGCTGTATCTAGCTTACATTTTTTTTCAATATCTATGTAATAAACTAAACTAAATAACAAAAACAGAACATTTTGAATTATCCGGAAAAATAAGAAAAAATGAAGTTTAAAACAAGTGTTTTGAGGGGAGGGTCCAGATTGGGAAAAAAATGACAGAACAAAAATTTTTCTTAAAATTCCACCAAAAATATTATGATATAATTCATTTTGCGAAATTCGGAACTAAAATGTTGCCCCAAAAAATGGTCATTTGGCTTTTTTCTTAGTTCTCAGCGCAATTAGGAAACTAAAATTAACACCAAAAATGGGTAATTTGGTCTCCTATTTTGTTGAAAGCTTTTGAAAATGGGTAATTTGGTTTCTTATTTTGTTGAAAGTTTTTGTAAAGAACTATGGTTTTTCTTTAATTTTCAGCGTAATCAAGAGTTATGCTGAAACTTCCATAATAATTGACAAAAAAGTTATATCAAAAGGAGTTTTTACACAGCGAGCGCAAAAAAAAATCTCTAAAAGTCTGTAAAACAAAATATTATTTTGCTTGATAGCCAAAAAATGTTATTTTCAATATACAAAACTCAACGTTTTTGCTTAAAAGAGTCTGTGAACGTTTCGCGCATGCTCTTATAGGGTTAATGTCTTGTTACTTTATGCCACGCTGTGTAAGAACCTCCTATTGAAATATTTTTCCAATCCAATAGTTTTGTAGTTTCAGCGCATTCTTGATTAACTAAGAATCAAAATGACCCACTTTTAAGGTAAAATTATAGTTCTGTTTGCAATAAAAAATGAATTATATTAAGTCTTCTAAAAATCGGAGCACTTTTTCTTTACAATTGCTGTCAAACCTTGCGACCCAAGTTGAGAAAACTTGTTTCATTTTTCAGCGTAACTGCTATATTCGGATTAACTGCTACGCTCGGAGCACTGCACACATAACTTTTAAACACAAATCACAAAGTCTGGTTTTTGGTTTGAAAACCTATATGACTTATGATTGTAGTCATCCAGAATAGGCAAAATAGTTTCTAAAATTTGAAGACTAAGAGTATTTATCATGAATTTAATTTTTCATAAAAGTTCATAAGTTTTTATTCATATCAAAACTGTAGACTATGGGGATAAATTATTCAAAACTAAAAACTTTTTTCCAAGAAAAACTTGTCAAAAGTTTTATATAAATGTTGATAAACATTCTCCATTGCGTGGCCTCTGATTAATTCGCAAGTTTGGGTGAATTATCGTTTATTCGCAAGATGAACACAATATCTCTAGAAAATTAGCCCCAAAACATCACTTTTTTCGAAACTTTGGCGTTGGAGTGATATAACTGCAAAGTCAAGCAAATTTAGTGGTCCATCCTCTTACAATTTGGTTCTGAAAAATAATTCAACGATGATTCAAACAAAAAATCACACTTCCTGAAAATTTTGTGTTTTTTTAGAGAACTTTGGCACTTTTTTTTGCAAAATTTACTGTTTATGTCTGAAGTTAGGGATTTTGTGGCCTTGTTTTAGTGCTCTTAGCCGTTTTTTGACCAGAACTGATAAAAAATTGATAGCTAATGAATGTAAAACAGGTTCAGTTTTTCGAAGCTCTTGAATTGTTGCAAACAAATTTGTTTTGCAATCAAAATAAAAAAATTTCTCACCTTCCGGTAATTAACTTTTTTTGGTCCGAAAATTGTCAAAGATTTGTCTTTTTTTCGTACATATGGTTAATGTGCAAGGAGTCTGTCAAAACCGTTAAGTTTGACTAAGGAAATAAGTTTCACAATTTCATTTAAGTTTCAAGAATTTTAACGATTAATTTATATAGATATTATGGAGAGAGAGAGAGAGAGAGAGATGTAGAAAGTAAGTCGTTAAAATTCTTGAAACATAGTTGGAACTTTGAAAATTATTTCCTTTAAAGAAATATATAATAGCTTCAGCACGGCGTTAGAACTGGAATTTAATCCCAACTTTATTCACGGTAGAAGAGTTTCAGTGCTGATTTAATCCAAACTTTACACTAGAAAAGTCATGTTTTGGCCTTTTTTTGTTCAATCAAGAGACTTAAAAAACTAAACTAAATTCAGAATTTTTTCGTAGCTCAGCACAACTTAAAGAGAAGTGCATTTTCCAAAAAATTAACAGAAAGTTACAAAAATATATATCAATAAATTTGATGTTTTTATTATTGAAAACCACAGTCGCTGACCATCAAATCAAAATATATTCAATCATAATAAATTTTTTCCTCTCTTGAAAGTGGTTGTACTAGAGTTGAATCCTACCTCAAAATCATTTGCTCATTCAGGCACCTGGTACGTTGGCGTAAAATTCGGTTGAATAAAAAGAACCAAATTTGAAGTCAAGAAAAAAAAGGCTGATATCTTGGGTCCAAATTTTATGAAATAAACATTACCTAATTGGAGTTTTCATCACGTTTTTTACTTGATATCAACTCTTTTCGATAAACATGCGTTTAAAACGCCATTTTCGTTCGTTTTTGTTTCCGGCTAAAATAAATTAGCACTATTTTGCCTCATCCGGTTCTCGCAGAAAATGAAAGAAAGTTTACTGAAATATTACGGAAACTTTACTTTCTTACAACACTCTAAGCGGCAATCTAAATCTATAACCTTTGTGTCATTCATCAAAATTTCCATTGAAGGTCTGATTATCCATAATGTTGTTTTTTATGAACTCATGCTGAAGAAAATTATCAATGTAAACGTTTTTAATGTTCTTCATTGTAATTATTAGGTTTTTATCGATGTCTTTCAATTATACATACTTATTACAGATTATTTTATGATTTTTGTCAGCGTTGACTTTGCTTTTGTATTGTTTTACGTTCTAAAACTGTATTTTTTATGGTCGTTTGAGACTAATAGGTGTCCAAGATTAATATGTTTTCCTAAACTCAGCATTTCGTAATTTTTGGAAGCCTCTTCACTACTTTTTATATGCTCGTGATAGATTTTGGCATCTTCTTAAACATTTTGTTCACTCAATTATTGAATTAGTAGATCGTTAATATGGAAAAAAAAACAAATAAGGGACCAAGAGCTGATGGTTGTGGTACTCCCCACGTTAATCCTTGGGCCGTTGATTTACTTTCACCTAGGCACGCGTACTTAACTCTATAACTTAAAGAAGAATCGAGTAAGAGATGAGTTGGACCTTTGATGATGATGTAATAAAAATCGGTTTATATTTAGAAACGAAAATATCCTGCTATTGACTTTTTAATTTTTTTTGTCAAATTCGCAGAAGAGGTATTGCAAAGGAGCTAATTTTGCAATTTTGAAACTATGATGAAATTAATTTAAATTTCTACATCTGTTTACTAAAAGGGATAAAGTTTCACAAATTGATGGGTCTTCATGATCGTTTGAAACTTTCGCTGGCAATTGGTTGATTGTTTTGTATATTTCAAGCTATTCGTTTCTTCTAAAACCATAGTTTGTTCAATTTGAAAATTGTAAGCAAAATGGTGGGCCTTGTATTTTTTCGGGCACCTATATTGACAAACGCTTCTTTGTTTACTTCAAAGGGCGTCGGTTTTTTTGTTTTGGCCTTTTATGTTGCTTATTAATTTCTTAGATGACTTCAATTTTTCAACCGATTGTTTATGGTTTTTGTTTTCAAAGAATTTTTTTTTGCTGAAACACAATTTTTTAAACCGTTTTCTTAGCTCATGACAGTTTTCGTTGTCTTCTTTTGTGCCAGTTCTTTTGTACTTAGAAAACGCTGTTTTTTGAGCTCAGACAAAAATATAATTAAGTGTTTTTTGTGCGTCTAAAATTCGATCTATTGTGTCGTTTCCATTTTTTTTTTTCGTTTTTATTGATACCACTTAGACCAAAATTAAAGGTGATCCCGTGATAATTACTGTTGAGTAAGAAAAAATATTTCGGAAAATGATTTTTTTTCAAGGATCTAGAAGAATAAAATCCAACCATGTTAACTTGAACATCTGCGTATATAATCATAAATTTTTTATTTTTTACTTTGAACTTCGCCCAGTTTATGAAGTGTTTAAGTCTTGTTTTTTGTCATACTGGATAAATATAGAAATTGCAGCTATTTCAATGTACAAAATAGGCGTGCGTCGGTGGTGAAGCTTTATGAGGAATAGTCGTCAGCTCCGCTTTCAAAGCCTAATTAAATGTAACCACGTGGGACAATCGTTGAAAGTTCACTCAGATTTCATCATCATTATCAATCATTTGAACACTAAAAATGTCGCTTTCTCCTGCGCTTTTATATCCCATTTAGGAATAGGAAGAGTTCAATTTAAAATCGAAAATCGAATTGATCTTCAAAATGAACTCTAACGGTTAAAAAAATTTTCATCACAATCATGCTTGAGATGTAGTGCTGATTTAAATGAGCAGGACACAATGAACAACATTGAAAAGTTCAAATGCGTTTTTTCAATTTAAGTTCAAATTATATCAAAAACGAAGATAACAAATTAGCGTGGTGCAATTTTTTTTCCGAAATTTTTAACCAGATTTCACTTCAAAAATTGGTATTTTTGACATTTTTATTAATCAAAAATTACGCTGAAACTACCGACCTAATTCATGAGAAAGTAATATCAGTAGAAGCCGACTTATACAGCCGACTTATCAGTAGAAGCCGACTTACACAGCTCAACAAAATCTACAAGGGTCAAATCTCCAAAAATTTGTATAAGATAGTATAAAAAACTGTCATTTTTGCACGGTCCCTAGATAGACTATGTTAAGATCTTCCACCCCAGCCTTTAATTCGCATTAAATTTGCTAAGTGATGCATGCAAAATGCTCGGTTCTGATTGACCAAAAAAACTTAAAACCAAATCAACAACCCCCCTCTACGGCTTTCGGAGGAGCATGATAACTTGGCCCATTTTTACATTATAAAAGCAAAAAACCTTTGCTTGAAAACAAATTTCAAACGTTTTGCACAATCTTTGATAAATTTTCCTTCTCGATTTTTGTTGAATAAAATTTGATTGCAAACTCCGGAAAACAATGCACCATAATAAATCTGGTGGAATTATAAGCAAATTTTGCTCTCATCGCATTTTGTATAAGCTCAACTCTATTTTAGAGAAACGAGTTTAAAGTTTCAAATTTTGTTTGTTCATAACAACAGGATCTTACAGGAAATGAAACAGGATCTTACAGGTAAATCAACAGGTAATGAAAAACCAAAAGTTGTAAATGTGTCAATGAACTCAAGAAAACCGGAAAAACGACCAATTTTATTTTTGACGCATATAGCCGTAAAAGTTTTCGAACTTTTGCATCTCTTCGACACGATACGAAATCGTCGCATGATTGACATTTTTGATATAACTTACCAAATTCGAAAACCATTTGATCAAAATAGATAAAGATTTTATTCACCAGATTTTGTGTCCTGGATTAAGATTAAGATTTTATTTACTTCGTTCAGCTCCACTGGGAAACTTTCCTAGCTCGAATCGATCAACCAATACTTTTTCGAAATTTAGGTATTTGCTGTTTTCAGAAATATTTTTATTTATTTGATAGCGGATGTCCGAGGGGAAAAATACTTATAATAGTTTAAACGATGGAATCACTTGATTGGCCCCTTAGACTATGAAAACCCCTAGCAGACCTTAAAGATTAAGCACTTAAATGGTCTGTGAACTTTCTTAAGCAAATGGGCCGCAGCATTTGAGGACCCTAATGACTCAACTAGTATCAATTTCCTTTGCAACTGTTACATTGAGTTCGCACAATTCTCTCTTGCAAGGGCTGGAAGTTAAAACTGCTTTTCATAATTCAGTATTCGAAAATCTTTCGGACAGGCAAAAGGACGCTGATTGATTGAAATTTATCGGGCATTCGTTTATTTTATCATGTGACAACCCTGATTGAAATATAAAAAACTAAATTTGACTTACCATTAGTTATTGTCTTCGCCATGCTTGTACAGCTGAATTTTACCGCCAGTAATTTAAAAGCTTCATATATTTTATTCGCAGATAATGGCTGGCTTTATGTTTCTTCGGTACTCATACGCGAACTCTTTTATAAAAACACGTATAATGCATCGTGCTATTTTGCATCACTTGATAACTTTTCTTTGTTCACTACAAATTAAGCTGTTTTGGTTAATGAAGATAAAAAGAGCAGACCATATAGACTTGTCAATTATTTTTTTTTCTACTATGCATTAAAATATAAACCAGGTTAAGTTCTAAGTCTAGTTCAGTTCAATTTATTCAAAGTTCCTTTGCGGTTTTTGTGTTATGGCATCCCAAGTATAGTGACTTCACAATGTCACTATCAGATGATGTCATCATATACTACTGGGATGACCTCACACACCTCAGTAGTGGTCCTCGAGGTGGTAGTGGTCTGTGACGTATCGCTTCTCTGGTTCGAACATCCACTTGTAGTCTTGGTAGAGATCAGGGTTCTCTTTCTTCCACTGTTCAAAGTATGAGTCATACTCTTTCATTTTCCCCTTGGCCCACTCGCGCTGTTCCTGTCATTAAAATAACCATAGAAAGTTCAAAAAATTTACGTGTTATCATACATTGAGATTCGAGCTTCGCGCCAGCCCCACCTTAATGAAAATATGCAACTCTAACAGTCAGTTCTAAATCATATTTTGAAAGCAAAGAAAAACCCAGGGCGCTGCCATTTCCTCGCCATCCATAATCACTTGGAAAAAATGCTGTTCATTTCGTTTAGCTGTTATGAAACTTGGATCCAGGGTTATTAATCTTGTCGTTGTTGTAAGCTCAGATCTTGTGATTATTTGGCCCACTTAGACCAGTGTTGTTTGCTAGTTTTATTGTACTGTGTGCGTTGCTACTTGGTTGGTATCATTTTATGTATCATGTTTATTTTCGGCACTCTGACTCAGCAAAAGAACGAAAACAAGGAGACGCCCACATTTGATCTTCACACAACACTGCAACCCCATGATTCACCATCGAAATTCCTTCAGCGCATGGAGGGGCATTAAAAAGACGCATTTCAAAAAAATATGCCAGCAAACGGAAATCGTTTGTCAAATGACGATCTCTCAGGCTGGGCTCTTTTGAAATAAATGATTAATTATATAAGTAAGAGTGCTTTGGTATGAGAACATTTTTTTATCATTCCAGGGTAATCGATTATGTGTTATTTGTATTTTCTCCAGTCTTACAATGAGTCTCTGCTGGCGTTTGGCAAAGTAGTCAGGGAACTGAGCCTTCTCCATGTCACTCCACCCCTCCAAGTGTTCCTCCCTGGGGTAGTGGTCGTACCTGTCCCAACACACTCCTCCGGGCGAGTCGGGGAACTTGTACACAAAGTCCACGTGCAGACGTTTCAGCTCCTACAACCCACATCAAGTCACTCCATGATCAATATTTCTTTGAAATTTTTGTTTACAAATTCCAGCAATACAAAAAATCGAGACAAACGCATGATAGAAAGATGAGGAAACATAGATGATTTCATATAGAACAATGCTCAGACTTCGAAATTTTGAACATCCGATTGGATCGAACATTTCTCTTGTATTTGCTACTTCATACTTAGGCATGACACTGAGCTACTTTTTCATGTCTATTTACGGTGTCAGGACAAAAGATACCATACCAAAAGCTCCCTATTTACATATACTTAACAGAACTTTTGGCACAACTAACCAGTGTTCTTTAAGGACTCAATTTTATTGGTAGTACAAGCAATGACCTGGCCTTTTTATTTTTTGCACAATTTTTCTCAAACGCATCAAAACACATTTAAAAAATTGAATGCGTTGCTCAAACTATGAATGGCGGACGCATCCCATTTCAACCATCAGCTTCGAACATTTTCATTTTACATTTCATATAGAGATTTACGAGTACGCACAGAAAAACTAGAAGACCCAAAACCACGCACAAAATCATCTGCGATTGCAATTGCATTAATGAATAAAAGCGCTCAGAAAATTGAACATCTATTTTGATGCTTTGAGAATTCAGCGTTTTTTAAAAGAAGCGTTTACTCATAAACAATACCTTCTGAGGTATTAATTACTCATTAAAAAACTAGCTAAATAGCCATTTATGGCCCCGTGCTTAAACTCGTAAATCAATTTCACTTAACTTTACTAAAAAAAGATTTTGAGCCTTGAGAGAACACGACTGCTCGTATCAGAGCAAACCCCTGAATATTTCGACTGCCTTTTAAGCTCTATGGAGCTGTGCTTGCTTTAAAAAGCTTGATTAAATTTTCAAACAAAAAAACCTACTCTGAGCACAAATACTCCGTCACTGTCGGCGAAAGTCGGAACAAAAAGTACAAATTTAACTACTCTTGCATAGTATTAGTTTTTGATTGGAGGGTGATCTGAAAAATCGGAATATGTCGCGTTGCACCGTGACTGATTTTCCGCTAAGCGATGACGAAAAATGGGATACTCAAAAAGTGAAGAATACATGTACCAGTTATACAAGTAAAAGATGGCTGGAGTAAGATGTTACACAATCGAAAATGATTAATTGTTCATGAAAAAAGGTCTTAACATTAACCTCAATTTATATGTTCCAGAAACTTTCAGTAACATCGATTATGGGGAGACTTAACTGAAAATGAACCAAATTATTCAAAAAATGCACGTGCTCCATTCTAACATAATAGAAATGAGCTGCAAAATGAAAAAATTGAAGTAGCGTACATCCATTTTCCACCCCTTTTTTGCCATTTCTAAAAAAATTTGAACGAACTTTTAAAAACCAAATGGCCCGTATTCAAGTGCACGTGTAAGTGTAATTTACGGTTTTGCGACTACAATTTCAAGCAGACAACCATATACACAACTCTATGGAATCGGAAACGTTTTCAAGGAAAAGCCAGGGTTAAAAACATGAACTGATTCGAGAACGAGAATTTATGGTCTGAGAACTGATATCAACAATTCACGATAATGACATTAAGTCAAACGCCTTCTCAGGCGGGAGAAATTCGTTGTATACAGTTGTCACTGTTATATGACAAGCATATATAAACGGAGCTGAGAAGATCCATAATCTTGCTCAGCTAAAATTAGCGCTATTTAAAAGGAAAACAGGGAAATCAGGGACAATCATAAAAAACTTCGAACCTTCCAAAATCAGTTAGTGACCACTACATAATAAAAGAAGCTAACTTTAATTATTTTGTAAACCGAATTGAACCTCTATAAAAGTAACAAAATAAATACTTCAAAACGTATTAAATTTCAGAAGTAATTTCAATATTGAAACTGCTTACTTCCGACTTAGTCGATGAACTTTGATGCCTGAGTCATACAACACAACCATTTTGCTTCTGTTAGATGCATAGAATTGCCGACAAAATCACCTACGCCGATTCATTACAAACCTATTGATCTGCTCCAATTTTGGAATATTGATTTGCTAAATAACTATGAATTGGTTTTCAGCAATTCTAAATGAATCGCATGGCATTGGGACAACAGATCTAATGGTTTCACCCTTCCCACGCACCTGTTCGGCAAACTCCACCAATCGGCTAACTTCTCTTTCGTCTTTGATGTCCTTATTGACATCGAACTGATGCCTGAGGAGAGTCCTCCAAATAAGGAAGTTGGGTCTGGTGGTAAGACTCTGCTGTGCTTCCTTCATTCTATACAGGCGCTTATATAGTCTGCAGATTCTCTCCCTGTGGCTCACTGCCTGTACTGGATAGGAGGGAGCGTGTGCTATCGTTGGCACTGCAAACTTCTTCGCATAGTGACTCAGTGCCATCACAACATGCTAATATAAAATAACACATAATTAAAGAAGAGAATTAAAAAACTAAATCGATTTCAAGAAAAAAAAATGCACATCAATTAAATATTTTACACAGAGGCAACCACTTGCGAGCCAATACAAGAAAGCCCCCTCGTCTAAAAATAATCGAAAAGGTAAAAAAAAACTAGATCTATCAAAATGAATTACTCTAATTATGAAAAAAAAACATGCCAAGAAAATAGAATGTGAAATCAACATCTGATGAAAATGACCAGCGGTAACAAAGCTGAAAACAAACACCAGAGTAGAAGCCTTTTAAGCCGAAATAATTCAAAAAGACCTAAAAAATTATGAAACGTTTTTCAGTCCCTCTCATCTCAAAACACACACGGGACGCACACTCAACTTTTTTCGCTAATCAAACGACCCAATATGAGGCCACTAAAAAGATATAAGTAAACAATATCGGAAAATTGTAGTAACAAGATAAATGTTAAATAAGCCGACGGAATTAAAGGCGGCAGCCAATACTGAAACTCAACCGAAAAACTTCGGCCAAACAAAATTGATAAAAAACCATGTACTGCCCATATAGTATCCACGATTGTCAAATATGAACTGTCAAAGTGGTTTATACATTTCGGAAACTAAACCGAGAGGTTAATCGACAACAATAAACTCGAAAAACTATCAGCCAAAAAATACACATATCGAAGTTCTATAATTATACATGCAACTAGATCTCTCAAAATGTCAAAGATAGATGAAAAAAAAGCCCGAACAAAAGAATGCAAAATTAGCATCGAAAAAAACTTACCAAGCAGTAACAATGTCGAAAATATTGTTGAATTCATTTTTATACTGTTCTCTTTCGTTTGCTTAATCGTCATGACCAGTTTGTGCAATGTATATTGTTTGGTTTATATTTCAGACAGTGTTGTGCCTTTTGTATGTTGAGTCAGATATACAATTAATTTTTACATGGTAGCAGAATGTCTAAAACGATCTTTCCTCCTCCTGAATTTTCTGGTAAAAGTTATGAAGCTTGGTGTCGTGAACTCAAGCTTTGGCGAATTTTGACTGATCTGGACAAGAAAAAACAGGCGCCAGCTATCGCATTGTCCCTGAAAGGGAAGTATCGCGAAGTGGCGATGTCCTTGACAGATGATGAAATGACTGCAGAATCGGGGTTCGACAATTTATTGTCAAAACTTGACCAGAAATTCAAAAAAGACAAGGTTGATCTGGCGTATGAAGCCTACAACAACTTTGAACGCTACCGTAGATCTCAGAGTACAAGTATTGTGGAATTCGTCAACGAGTTCGAATCAAGGTACGATGAAATGGCGAAGTATGATATGAAGTACCCCGAAAAGGTTAAGGGGTGTAAGCTTTTAGATATGGCATCACTTGAACTGCGCGAAAAGCAGATGGTGCTCACCGCTGCCAGAGATCTTACTTTTGAAGAAATTGAAAAAGCTCTTCGACGTATTTTTGGCTCCAATCAGAGTATAAGTGATTCAAATTTTGACGAACTTGTCCCTTCGCAACCTTCGAGCTCTACTGAAGCTTTCATGAGTAATCGCTACTCCAAGTTCCAGAAGCGCAAAACAACCGATTCAAAACCATATAAAAAGAATCCAATTGACCGAAGTGGTAATATAACGAAGTGTCGTAATTGTGAATCTGTTTATCATTATGTAGCAGATTGTCCGGTACCCTTTGAGAACAAGCGCCAGAAGGCAACTGAGTCGCACTTTGTTTCGAGTGAAAAAAGTGGACCTAAAAGTTGTGAAGATTCTGATGTCCAGGAATCACTAATTTCTATTGCATTAATAGCAGGAGGGGTATTGCTGCAACAATCTCGGAATTGCGCTATTCTGGACACCGCGTGCACGGGAACAGTTTGTGGGCAACTCTGGTGGGAAGTGTTTTACGACAGCATTCCCGAAAATCTCAAAAAAATGGTTAAGTATGAGACAAAAATTATGTTCGGCAATATGGAGAGTCAAAAAGCAATTATGCAAATTACTTTCCCAGCCCGAATTGGGTCTAAACTTTGTACCATCACATCTGACGTAGTTTTGAGCGAATTGCCATTATTACTGAGTAAACAGGCCATGAAAAAAGCTGGAATGAAGTTGAATTTATCCGAGGATAAAGTTATTGTGTTCGGTGAAACAATACCACTCTCCTGCACATCATCCGGTCATTATTTACTGCAGCTGTCAGATAATAAAGTCAATGAAGTTTTCTTGGCAAGACCGAATGGTGATCTCGATAAGAAGTCTTTGTGGAAGCTTCATATTCAGTTTGGACACTGTTCGAAGTTGAACTTGGAAAAGCTGCTGAAAAATGGAAATTACAAATTCGCTAAAGAAAATTAGATGAGATCTACACTCACTGTGAAACTTGCATTACGAACTCCAAACCTGTTATCAAGCCGATAACTTGTGTACCTATTTCTTGTTCTCCGAATGAAGTTGTTGCAATTGATCTTCATCAACTCGGTCCCAAAAGCTGGTATGTTCATCTCATCTGCACATTCAGTCGGTTTAGCGTTGCTTCTAAAGTTTCGTCAAAAAAACCACAAGAAATTATCGGCGTTGTCATGAAAAAGTGGTTTTCTGTTTTTGGAGCACCATCGCGTGGATTTATAACTGACAACGGAGGCGAGTTTTTCAACTCACACTTCAGCAGTCTCGCTGAAAAATTAGGCATCGAGTTGATAACAACTCCCGCATATTCACCCCAGAGTAACGGAATCGTTGAGCGACACAATCGCACACTCACTGAGATGTTCTGTAAGTTTTGTCACTCATTCCCCGATCTTGACCAAGAAACCATGTTAGCTTTTGCTTGCCATGCTAAAAACAATCTATACAGTAACAATGGTTTCACGCCGTCTCAGATAATGATTGGTCGAACAACCATTTCTCCGTCAGTGCTGGACTGCAAACCACCGTTCCTAAATGAAGAGGTTATGTCCGATTTTGTCGCGAGAAACTTACTCTCGTTAGCAGCGATTCGGAAATCTTTCATAGAATCAGAGAACTCCGAACGTATTCGACGAGCATTAAGGCACAACATTAGAGAGAGGAATACCTTTGAAGTGGGAGAGTCAGTTTACTATTTGAGACGCGGAAAACTTGGTTGGCATGGGCCGGCAAAAATTATTGGGCGAGATGGTAAACTAGTCGTTCTACGCAATGGTTCTTATGTTAATCGCGTTCATGAAACCGATTTAAAGTTATCACCGTTGGATGACTGGTTGAAATGTGGTTGCATCGATGAAACGACAGAAAGTGCAGTTTGTAACGAAAAAGTTGATTCCGGGGTCGAAAACAGTGAAACTTTGCCCGCTGAAGAAGTTGATGACGTTTCATGGGCTTTGCGAGAAGTTGAAAGCGCGGTAGATGACGCCGTTACCAGTGAAAATTGCGCTAACGAAGTAATCAGCTCACATGAAGTGATCAAACCAATTCACGAGCAAGTTCACTCCAAAAAAGCGTTATTACCAAAAGTTGGTCAGACAATACGCTTGAGCAACTCTCATGCTGATATTTGCGATAAAACCTTCATTGGCGAAGTTTTATCTAGAGCTGGTAAAGCCAACGGGAAAAATAAAGGTTTTTTCAATGTTAAATGGAGTTATCCGGATGATGTTGCTGGTCAGTCAGGATGCATAGATTTGTTATCGGAAGAAAATGATTGGAATATTGTCTCAGAACCCGAAGTGTCTGCTTTTCTGAGTAGTACTGACGATTTTGTGGTTGCTAAATTGAATGAGTTGCAGTCATGGAAGGATAACAATGTCTTCGAAGTTGTTTCCGCGAGTGGCCAGGATGTGATGGGCACAAGATGGGTCCTCACGATGAAAAAAGATGCCTCTGGAAAACAAGTTCCGAAAACCAGGCTTGTAGTCAAAGGTTTTTGTGAAACTCTAGATACTTTCGAAAAAGACTCACCTGTAGTTTCTAGAGAGGCTATGAAAATGTGCCTGGCGCTAGCCGCAATGTTGGGTTGGCCAGTCCTTGCCATGGATGTCAAGACAGCTTTTTTGCAGGGAAAGCATCTTACGAGAGAGATATGCGTTAAACCTCCTTCTGAAAGTGGTACCCCTAATGGTACTGTTTGGCGCTTAAAAAAACTAGTTTATGGGTTGCAGGACGCATCTAGACACTGGTATTTGAGAGTTTCTGAGGAATTAGTTTCCCTTGGTGCTACCAAGTGCAAACTGGAACCCTCTATTTTTATTTGGAACACTAACGAGATGCGTGGTCTGGTATGCGTTTATGTTGATGATTTTCTCTACTCAGGTACTGATGGCTTTGTTGAATTCATCACCTGTGCTTTGAAGTCCAAATTCATTATTGGTTCAGAGAACAAAATGCCGATGACTTTCACTGGTATTGAGCTGAAAGATAGCGGAAATTCTCTTGAGATGAGTCAAACAGATTACGCACATAGCATAAATGAATTACCCATGGAAGGTGCCTCAGATGCCTGCTTGAACGCACATGATGCGACTCTTTTTCGTGGAGCTATGAGGAAACTCCAATGGCTAGCAGGTCAGACGAGACCTGATCTAGCGTTTTCTGCAAATTCTATATCTATATCTTCCGTGTCGCCCACTTACCATGATGTTCATATAGCGAACAAAGCGATAAGACAGGCTAAAAGTTGCTCGAATCACTCGCTTAAGTTCCCTAAAAATGCTGTTTATGATAAAATTCTGGTTTATTCTGATGCCAGTTTCCAAAATCTACCCAACGGCGGCTGACAAGGAGGCTACGTTATCTTGCTTTTCGATTCTGCGAGTAAGAAGGCAGTTTGTTTGTACTGGTCGTCGCGCAAAGTTCGTCGTGTTGCCCGGAGTACCCTTGGAGCAGAAACACTGGCTTTACAAGATGGTCTCGACTGTGCAGTATTCTTCCAAAAGCTCGGGAAGCAAATTACAGACCAGTATTTGAAGATTATTGCTATAACGAACAATTATTCCCTCTACTCTGCCTTACTTTCGGGAAAATCTAAAGAAGAAAAGCGACTCAGAATTGAAATAAGCGCTATCAAAGAACTATGCGATTCAGGGGATTTGGAGAAAATATTTTGGGTTTCGACAAATGAGCAAATTGCTGACTGCCTGACGAAAAAAACTGGAAATTCGGAGTCCCTTTGGAGAGTTTTGCGATCGAATTATGTTGATTTATCAAAAAAATCCATGAAAAATGGTGAATTCGCGAATGTGTGAATAACTGCTTTGATCTTAACAGTTCTACTTAAATAACTTTCAATCAATGTGTTACGTTTTGATGTGCACACTTAATGTAAACACTCATCTGTCAATCAGTTATTCAGCCACGTGCATTTCGTTACATGACGCTTTTTAGTACATTGCCTCAACTTGCGCTTGTTTGCTCAAGCAGCGTTTGCATAACACGCCCACTCAGCTTTACGCATAAACGCGTACTCGCTATCATCAATCCTCCAACAAAGAATTCATGGGAGATTGTTGAATTCATTTTTATACTGTTCTCTTTCGTTTGCTTAATCGTCATGACCAGTTTGTGCAATGTATATTGTTTGGTTTATGTTTCAGACAGTGTTGTGCCTTTTGTATGTTGAGTCAGATATACAATTAATTTTTACAAATATCTGAGCAGAAACCCTTCAAGCTGAAAAAAAAAGTTTCCAGAAAGTTCGAAACTAATAAAAAATTTTAAGTTCCCCTCTCCCTCAAAACCCACGCACGCACACAGAAAACTTTTTGCTCATCAAACAGCGCAAAAAGAGGTCACTACGGCGATTAAAAACTAGGCCGAAACCTACTAAGCCGAAAAAGAAAAACTGAAATCCAAAAAATTTGAAAGTGATTAAAAATTTCAAGTTCACCTCTCTCTCAAAACACACACACACATAGAAAACTTCAAACGGCGCAATATGAGTCCACTTAAGCAATATAAAGTACGTCCAAAAACAAAGCCGAAAAAAGGACGAAAACAAAAATCCAAAAAAAAATTCAAAACAAAAATAAGCCAGTTTGAAACAAATAAAAAATTTTGTTTAGCATTCCCTAAAAACACACACACGCACGCAAAAAACATTTTACTAATTAAACGACTCAATAAAGATCACTTAGCCTATATATCATAGACCGAAACTTATTAAGCGGGAAAAAAGGACAAAAAATACAAAAAGCAAATTTCGTTTCGAAAAGCTGAGATATTTAAAACACTAAGAAACTCAACATGCTTATTATTCGGAACACATAGTAAGAGGATTTGATTTGCAATGAGGACAAAGAGGTGAAGGATTCCAAGAGTGAGTCGTACGCCTTAAGTTATGTATTTACGGGAAAAGTCCAGTACACGATTACATTACCCTTGCTTATCGCAAGGGTAAAAAAAAAACCGAAAATACCAAGTCGCTGCCTTTCGTGTCTTCATTATTGTTGTTGTTTTTGTTCAAGGCTATGGTCTTTGTATCTCTTCAACCGTTTCTCTGAAGAACAGGATGACGAAAAACTAAAATATCCAACAGACAGTTGAAAGAGTAAGCGAATTATAGAAAACCGAAAAAAAAGGACTTTTTGTACAAATACAACAGGACTAAAAAAAACTACTCACCCACTTAAACTTAACTCAGACACTTGCGAAAACCGGATCAATGAGTATTTTTATACTGAGCTGGGAAATCGTTTTTTTCGGGGAAGTCAAAAACTAAGCGCAACCCCGAATTATCGTTCTGTCCGATTAATCGATTATAATTGAAGAAATTCGCAATCAATGTAAAGCACCAAAATAAAAATTTATTTGAATTGAAGTTTAAATTTCATTTGATTGGCACAAGTTAAAATAAAGCAACAACCATTTTTACTGCAAAACTCAATCAGAAAATATCAAAGCTTTGGGATTTGCAAGGTGTTCCATGCACATCTTAGAGTGCTCGTCGAATCTGGGATAGTCTTGCGTGAACAGTTTTTTCAAAACTGGAAAAGATTCATACAATTGTTCTAGCGCCTCAATGTGACTTGCAAACACAGCGTCCACTTCTGTTATTTTAGACCCGAATAGAAATCCGACTCCATTTTTCTCGTTTTGCTCCAATTTAGATGAAACGGCTATACACAGGGTAGTCAATTCGCTCAAAATTCGTTCTTTGCCCAAATCATTAGCAGGATAGCCCAGTACTTTCAGATTACTTTTTATTTCCCATCTTTTCATAAAGGGAAGCACAAAACTAAGAGGTTTCCAGTGGAATGAAAAATGTCCTGGTTTCGTTCGGGATTCGAACTCATTTTCTAAGCACCAGCAGAAGAATTTTTCGGCGGAGTGAAAAGTCGAATCGATATACACTAAGAATGTAATAATTTCAGCCTGTTCAAGCTGGGCTAATTTTGAACTAGGCAAATAGCCCATTAACCTCACGTACTGCAGAATTGTTTCAAACCCAGTAGCCATTTTGTCTCCGCTTCTAACAACTGGCCACAGTTTATCCGGTCCTAAAAATTCTGCATTTATAGCTCTCTCTATTTTGAAGTTCAAATTGCACAGCTTGAATATTGAAATCACTGATAGACTTCTGGCTAGGTAATCGGCAGTTAATTGGCTGTTTGTCGGTAAGTAGAGAACTATATCGTCTGGCCATGGCAGTGGATCTTCTGGACTCGAATCTCCATCAACACTTTTAGTTCTGGAGGTCAGAGCTGCAATTCTAGCTAACTGGAACGAACTGCACAGCGTCATTACCAACTGGAAAATGATAGCATAATCAACTTGAGGTTTCGAACACAGAGGCGAAGCTGCACTTCGCAAACCTAAGCGGGAAAACGGCAAAGACATTGACGTCCGCGCATCCGAGCCATAGTCGCTTGAAAACAAGCAAACACAAGTCACCACTAATGCCGATAGAACAGAGGCTTGGAGCAGCCTCACTTCGTGTAGAAGGACGGTTTTTTTGTCCGGGAGTCAGGGTGAGCCAAGGCACTTTTATTTGCGAAATTTGTTGGGAAAAGTGAAATGTTATATAACACTAGGCTCATTTGTGTTTAAACTACTAATTATCAATTTCTCAATACTTAATTCAGTAAATTGAGGCGTTTTTGAAACAATCGCTATGTCCAGTTTTGAAAATTAGAGTGCTGAGTGTAAAAATTAGTCTGCTTTTGTTTACAAAGTTGTAGAACGGGCCGAACTGTAGCAAGCTTTTGCGAAAAATTTTGCCATTCGAACAAAGAAAAAGTAAGTTTCAGAACAATCTAATAGGCTACATAAGCAATCTTTTTACCACAAAAACGCCCCGCTGTGTCTACCACAGCCAAAATTTGTTCATATAAGGCAAATATTTGATGCTAGTTTTGACGCTAACAATTTAGTTGAACGAAACCATAACACAATTGCGTTCGGTAAAACTACTTCAATAAACAATACTAGCGTGCAACGCACCTCCGGTGCTTCGAATTTTTGAGAACTCATAAAAAAGCCGTATGTATTGAAAAAATATCTGCAGCCTTTGATTGTACTCTGACAGCACCGAATCAGAGGGTTCGTAATTTCACATATTGCTAAGGTTTTTTAATTCAAATTTTGAAAAAACCAATTAATTTGGTGAAGTTTTTTATAACTAAGTTTTTTAAAAAAACTTCAAAGTGACATAAGAAAACGTCATATCTCGAAAAATAAAAAGATTTGATGAGTCATAATTAGAGGCGAGATTCTCAACCCCCGAGTGTCTGCTGATAGCTTCCAAGTTAAGGGTTGGGAATTTCAAAATTTGAAGAAAAAAAATTGAGATTACGTTTTCTGAAATTTAAAAAAAAATCACAAAAAACGTCATATCTTGTAAACTAGAATGATTTGAACAGTCATAATTGGATTCGCAACGCCCGATAGCATTCTGACAGCCCCAAATAGAATGTTGGGAATTTCGAAATTTGAAAAAAAAATGTACTTTCTGTAAATTTTTTGAAAAATCACAAAAACATCATATTTCGAGAACTAAGAGCATTTTAGAAGTCGCACTTCGTAGTAACCAATTTAACAATTTATTCATAATGCTGAGAGCGTAACGCAAATTATTTATGCGTGGCGAGTTATCCGCACAAGAAAATCGTTCCAAATTTAATTGAGGCTAGCTCATCGGTCGTATTAATTTCGTACGACTCAAATTTTCACACTTTGTTATTGTCCAAAATTTATAGGTTCTCAATAACTTATTTTGGAACATTCAATAACAGTCGGAACATTCAGGGATTTGCCCTGATATACGAGCAGTCTTGTTAGCACTTTAACACAGGATGCTTCAGACCCATACAGCCAATAAATTTTATTAATTTGAAACCTGCAAACACCCAAAATAGGAGTAAGTGACTGTCCCCTTTTGAAATCCTCCTGGCTCATAAACACGCCCTGGATTTTAATTAATTAACTATTTTTCTTAGTTAACAAACTATTTCTACGAAAATGGAGGAAATAAACTAATCAGAGAGATGCGCTTTATTTTGAGTAAATATGTTGATAGTCTCCAGAAACCGACAATAATTTAAAAATTTTACGCCAACATTGACATCTTCGCCATGGCCCGTGATCACATGGCGAGGAGTTGATTAGATGCTGTAAATTACAAAAGTAAAAACGTAAAATTTTCCCGGTAAATGTTACCACAAATGAAATACTCGGGTTTTCTTTCAGACTCGGTACATTTTTAAACAAAAAATTCGCTGAAAGGAATATTTTTTTGCGGTTACAGCAGCGAATTTGTGTAAACACACGTGTTCTAATTTGATGGTTTTTAAGGAATTATTTAGTTAAATAAAACGTTTTTTTATTTGACTAAAATCCGGGGCTTGCATATAAATAACTGTAAATATTTATTAATTATGGGAAGAATTGAGCACACCGTAAGTTATACAACAGCGAACCTGTAATTTGCAGACAGGAGAAATACAGCAAATAGCTGTACAAAGCAAGAAAACACAAAAATAAATCTATAATAAGAATTAGCTTTCCAAAACTAAGCTTTTATAAATTTATCTACGATATTAAACCGGATTGGGCTAACACGACGTTTACCAGGACATATAAAAAATGTTTCATGTGAAATGAAACTTAAACGAGCCTGAAATATTTTGTTTTCTTTTGCAATATAGCCGGCATGCAGTTCAAAAAATGTCACTGAACACTAAAACAAACAGAAAGTGAGTTTTTTGAAATTACTTTTCTCCTTCCAGATTCCGTAAAAACATCAAATTGAAACTCTTTGAATCTGAAGCTCTTTTTGTGATTGACACCCTTTAAAATAAATCTAGTCCAATTAGATAACACTGAGTCAATAGGTAATTTATCATTCCGCTGAAAATTAAAATCCAATTTCGAAACAAATGTCATTCAATTTTTGCACTATTTCCAATCTTTGTTCTAAAAGACCATAACTACAAATAAATTTGAGCTGACCTAAAAAATAAATTTAAAGCCAAACAAAGCCTGACAAACTAACAGACATAAACTGCGACGAGAGCCTCTAAGTTAAAAAAAGTTTTAGATGTCAAGAAAACCTAGATCAAGAAAAAATATTTGTCTCAATTTATCTTGAAAAGGAAAACTGATAGTTAAATTTGTATCGAAACAAAACTTAAGAAGCGCTAACAAAGCAGACAATTTTGAGCAGACACCCGTTTTGAGCCCAGGCCATTTTCAGTGGACACCCACGCCAGAAGAAAAATTTCAACGCGCAGGCGAAGCTAGCTTTGCGATACAAAAATGAATGACTGTGATTAAAATCAGATGAAAAGAAAAATCAAGAACTGAAAATGCTTCAAAAATTCTTTAACCACAAAAAGTTTTAAAATTGCAAAAAAGCCAAAAAGATACCGAACAAAACTATCTGCACCATTAAAAACTCTGAATGGAGCTTTCGGAAAACTAAAAAGAAGCAGTACTTTCAAAAAAGCCCGTTCTGCATAAGCTGGCAAAAATAAGCTGACAGATAAAAAATCTTAAATAACGGAAAACTTTTAGTTTGCAAAAAAAAACGGATCCCGACTGGAATCGAACTCTCGGGCTTTGTCGTCGAGCATGGGTGTTAGAGCATCTTAGAAGAAAGCTGAACCTTCAAAAAAAATCGGGCTAGAATTGAGCCGATAAAAATAAGCAGACGGCTGATAGTCCGAGAAAGAACAAGAGAAGCAAAAAATTTGCAAAAATGGATCCCGGTCGGATTCGAACCAGAAGCCTTTGCCGTCTCAAGCACGTGCATAACCTCTACGCCAGATGCAACAGGCGCTTGAGTGAATATGATTTTATACACAGAAGCGAAGCTTTGCTTCGCAAACACTAGCGAGTACACGACAAAAATCAGGTATATAAATTGCAATAAGAGAAATTAGAAATAAGCCTCGAATAAGTCAGATTTCATCTTCCTCTGAGATTCAAGCCTCCGACCTAGAATTTATGAGTCTCACCCACTAACCACTCAGATATGGACGCTTAATAGATACCAAACACTATCCACAAATAAAGCGGAGAACAGATGCTGCGCAATTTCCAATGCTACAGTGAAAATTCCAAATAAGTGAACACTTTCAATAAACACTTTTTTTGTTACGAGTTAGGTTAGAAGAAAATAAGGTTCGTTAAAATACACAACGCTGATGGCTAGTGTAAAATAAGGAAGTATTTGAGTGAGTCCAGGAGGTGAGTCTTGGGCACAAGGTTATTTACGGGAAAAAGTCAAGTACCTGAAAGCAATACCCTCGCTTATCGCAATATGGGGCAACTAAGCCGATCAGGTATAAGTTGAAAAACTTTTGAAGTCAAACAAAAAAAACAGAACAACGGAAATAATTCCGAGCTGAAGTTGATAAATTAAAAATTCAAACCAAAAAAAAAGAAAAAAATTGAATAGAACGGGTAACTGAGAAGCAGACATGTCTGTTGGTTGAAGAAAAAGCAGATTTAAAAAAATGATTCAGTGATTTTGTTGGACAATTTAATTGCAAGAAAAAGTATGTTCCGAATTGATGATGCTTGCTAATAGCGAGCATAAAAAGGCATGCATAGAAATTCCGTGCAAATTAATCGATAAAATTAAAAAGACTGGAAAAACTTACCATTTCATTTTATGCTTTTTCTTTCAATTCTTGTTTTTAATTTTTCTAGTTTCATTGCTTTTTTATCTCAAGTAAAATGATATATACCTTTGTGTATTAATACTTAAAAATCTATTTTACCAACTTGTCAACTAGTCTTAGCAACGTGTCGAGGTATTATGCTTAAGGTAAAAATGCATGAAGACTTTAAAAAATCGAAAATCAAAAATTTACAAAAAAGGAAGACTCGCAAAAAGCATTTCATTTGAAAAATTCTGCATAAACTTGAAGTAATCGAAAAATCTTGTAGATTAATTACCTCCATCAATGGGCTATCAGTATTACCTCGATCAATGTTCATAGATATGGCATTCAGTATAAAAAACGAAAGCTAAACCATCAAAAAGAATCGAGCTATAGGATCCACGCCAGATGCGCAAGGTGCTTGATTGAATTTATAATAAAAGAAGTATGTTAACAAGTCCAGATCCAGGAGGTGAGTCTTTTTTTGCGGGTTAAGTTATTTAAGTTAATTACGGGAAAAACAGTCCAGTACCCGATAGCAAAACACTTAGTTATCGCAACGATGAAAAAACAATAAAGCACGCATAAGAAATTTGTTTTGCTCATCCAACGGTGCAATATGAGGCCACTAAGCAGAAAACCTTTATAGCCATTACATTACAAAACAGAAAGGAAATTACTCCGAGCCGATCTGCTAAATTAAAAATTGAAACCATCGAAAAAAAAATTGATTAAAACGGGTATCTGATAATATAGTCAAAATATGTCTGTTGGTTGACGAAAAAGCAGATTTCAAAAAATGATTCGGTAATTGTGTTGGACAACTTCTTTTAAAAAAATTTTGCGATAAAATTAAAACTTAAACTCCTCGAAAAATCCTGTAAACCAATTACCTCCATCAATGGATTAAAGAAACGGCATTCAAAAAGTTAGACAAAAGCTGAACCTTCAAAAAAAATTGGGCTATGGGATTTAAGCCGACAAAATTCACCAAAGACGATAGTCCGAAAAAGCCTTCAATATCTTGTTAGCAAAAAAAAACAGTTCGCGGCCGGATTCAAACCCTAAGCCTTTTTCGTCTCAAGCAGGTGTGTTACCTTTACGTCAGATGCACTGGATGGTTCATTGAATTTCTTATGAAGCAACATTAAACAAGTGTAACATTAACATTTTCACGTGCAAAATATTGCCAACGAAGTTGTTAACGGGAAAAGAAGTCTAGTACTCGGCTGCAACACCCAAAGGTGAAAACGGAAAGAAGTTATACGAACCTGAAGGTAGCAAAATTCCAAACTGCAAAATCAATTTTAAAATTATCGATTGGAAAAAGCAAACTTCGAAGATTTGTCACTATTTGAAACTGTGCACTAACTGATAGTTGCAAAAAATCTGTTCTATTATTAATAAGTAATTTGTTGTCTTTTTTTGGTAATTACAGTGTCTCTGAACAGAGCCTATAATTAAAGTGTTTTAGTAACTCGAAGCCCAGCTAAAGCTGAAGGTACCTGTTTGATAATTTTCGATTTTATTGTACTGATGCGGGATGAAAAAGGTAATTTCAAAAACTTAGAAATTGGGCTTCATCCAAAACCTTAGTTGTTGCTCTATTAAAATATGAAAGAAAATTTGTGATTTTGGAACTTTCTCAATGACATATTTTTGTTCAAATTTTAAGGCGTAGCATCTTTTGAACGAAGGCTTCCCACAATATGTTGCCTCGATTAAGACCTTGATATCAGATTGAGTTGTTTTCGAGAACAGTCTCAAAGTTTCAAAACGGTCAAAAATCTCATAATTTGCTTTTTTCTGAGAGCGTAACTTTTTCAGTTAAAAAGTTTGTGTGTAGCCGCTGAAGCAAAGGAACTTGCCACAACCCGATCTTTCCAGTGAACCCAAAATCTCTCAAAGATTTTGGAGAGTAGTTTGCGAGAAAACTGTCACGAACACTTGGCTTTTTTGAGGGCCATAACTAAAGTGTGTAAAACAATTTTGGCTTATCTGATTATGCACGGGAGCTTACCACAACCCGTTCTTCCTATTGAAACCAAAATCTCAGATTTTGGGAGCTTAGTTTTCGAGAAAAACCAAAAAGATTTTAAAAAAAGGTCAAACAAAAGAAAATTTGACTTTTGCCACGGTCAAAAATTTTAGCGTGGAAAAAACTTAGGAACCATTCATAAAATTGAGCTACCCGTAACCCGTGCTAACCATTGAACCAAAATGTCAGATTTGGGTAGGTAGTTTCTGAGAAAATGTGAAAAATCCAAATTTATGGGTCATAAATTCCCCACACACTTTTTCGAAAGCTGTAGAAAAAGGGGGAACGGTAAAAACAGACTAGGGAAACAGACTAATCTGTGGTTTAAACGGTTTTCCTGAATAACTCGATGCTAACAATTTGTGAATTCAATTCTAGTGTGTACTAAAGTTACTACGATAGAAAAAGTTAATTTGAAACATATACAGCACCAAGCTTTGATTAATAAACCAAAAGGATTCTTTCTATATCACCACTATGCTATTAAGCAATTCCTAATTGCGTGGTTTTTACATTAAGAAAATCGAAATCATAAAAGCGCTAATTCGTATTACATACGAAGGTTCGTTTGAAGCATACTTTTATGCTACAATAAAAACTCTAGCTGATTTTCAAATCTAATTTAGAATAACTTCTACTTTTAATGCCATATGAGGTTATTTCTGAGTTATATTTAGGCTAAAACTAATTGCGAGTCTTCGTTTGTGATCGCTATTCGCTTTTTCTTATCTGGAAGCCAAGAAGTGACTTCTATGCTGAATGAGTTATTCATTGCACATGCGTACAACATTAGACTTGAATTGCTGCCCGTGAATCCATCAAGCCATTCGACCTCTCCCGCTATGAACCTCGTGTAAGTTCGATCAAGTTTTCTCAGATTTGTGACTGACAGCGAATAGACGAGCATTCCCGATTCCGATCTTACCACATGAAGCCCAAACAGATCAACCATCAAGCCAAATACGGAACCCCAACCAAGCAGGTCTGAAGCAGAAACAAACGAATCTAACTTTTTATCAAATTAGATACGAGAAAAAAAAATTTGAAGCCGGCGCACTGAAACTTCAGCGAAGTACCTAGAACAGCATAATCAACTCGAAACTAAACGATCTGTTTACCTGGGATTAGCAAGTGTTCGCACGAGACCGTATGAGCCAGATCAAAAGTTTGCTTGCACCAGAGATGCACTTTTAGCCTCGTATTTAGTACCAGATATCTGCCATTGATGACCATTCCATTCTTGTATGTGTGCCCATCGATTGAACGAAGAGTTTTCAAAACAACCAGATTGTCAAACGGTTCTTCAAGACGCCCAACTTGGCACACATTTCGATCTTTAGAGAAAAGAACAAATGTACCTGAAGAAAACAAAATACCAATTTAGAAAGCCAGTTAAACTTTGATGACATGAGTGTGGAGAAGCAGACAGGTATACTTACCTTGAGATGCATATGCTCGATTGGTTTCAACAACTTCTTCTAGCTTCAATTCAACCACAGCTGCGGAATGGCTCGAAAAAACTTTGATGAGCTCCCCGTGTGCAAAACGCCACGTGATCAATTTCCAATCTGCTCCTCCACTGACCAGCAGATTTTTCCGCTCGGAAATATCGAAGCAGTTGACTGCTCCTGTATGGGCTCGGAAGACTAAATTTGCTCGGTTATCCCCAAACGCATGAAATCTGAGATCACCTGTCATAAAAACCTAATCAGTCATCAATCCGGTAGTCTGATAAAATTCTTGAAATTGACAAAATTTAATAGTCATACCATTAAACTGGGCAGAAATAAGGCCACTATCAATCGTTTTAATAGACGCACTTGGAGCGCATTCAATCAGCCGTTCGAACGATCCTCCACTTTTCAAGTTAGCAATGCGAGCTGTCCCGTCATAGCTGCATGAGCTAAGCATTCCATTTGCGTAATGAAGGGCACAAACTCTGTCCGCATGACCTTCGATACTTCTTTTCGAGATCCCGCAGCTACTTGCTAGACTAAAATGGGCTTCTATTACATCTTCGTATGCTGCTTTGACTGTTTGTAAATTGCGTGAATATTGCGACCATATCAAATTTGCACCTAAACCTTTCATTAAAACTATGTGCGCTGAAGGACTTTCGTGAACAGTTGAATTCCATGTTCTGCTGACTAGCTTGCATTTGTAGATAGATTTTGCGTCTAGGAAATCAAAAACTGTCTCACGCACCTCAAAAGGCAGCAGTGTAATGAAATCTACTCGAATTAGAGTTTGCAGAAGCCCATGAAGATAACTCAACTCTGGAAGCCCACAGTTCAATATTAAATTATCTAGAAACTCGCATCGAGTCCTGTAGTTTGAGTTAGAAAACTGACTCAACGCCGCCTCCATTTCCCTAACTAAAATTTCATGATATACAACTAACAAAAACAGTGCAACAACAGTCTGCAGCAGCAAAAATGAATGGTCGATGGGACTATTGATTTATAAAGAATGCCATTTTTCTCAAAAAACGATGTGCGGATTTAGCAGTGCTTAATGAAGAGTAAAACTAATTTAGGGTCAGTTTCGAAGTAAGATTATTTATTGGTTCACTCCTGACTAGAAGCTAATAAAAATAATCATGGTCACTTCGCCCTTCATCATTTCACCGATTCAAAAAACCTTGGGTTTTCAAAAATTAAGGAAGTATTAAAAAAAATTATGTGACTTTAAGTAAAGAAATTCGAAACAGCTGGGAATCAAGTCAACTAGATTAAGAAGATAGAATTTGGTCTGTATTTAGACAACCGCGTATTCATACTCGTCAGTCAGCAGGCAAATGCTATATTAACCAATCAGAATCGAGGTGAGAAAGCAAACTTCTGATTGATTAATATAGTATTTATCTGACTAGTAGGAATACGCGGTTGTCTAAATACTCCTGCATTACACATAAACGTGATTACCAGTAAACGCGCAGTGATCTCTTTCGGCCACACAAACAGCAATACGCGTACCAATTGTGACAGTATGTTAACTCTGTTGTTGTATTTCAGTGATATGTGTCCGGTGGGGTTTTAATTAAAGTTCTACAAACCAGTGTTTTACATGGTAGCAGGAGGTAGACGATGGCAAATACGAGTTATAAAACCCCGCCGCAATGGAAAGATGAAATGTCTTTTGAAGCATGGAAGACAGAAGTGGATGTTTGGAATGCTATCACAGATTTAGCTGACGGGAAGAAAGGCCCTTGTGTGGCTTTATCACTTGGTAGTTCGAAACGTGAGATTGCCATGTCTATTCCACTTGATGAACTGAAAGCTATTGATGGGCTCACTAAGGTTCTTGCGCAGTTGAAGTTATCATTTGGGAAGGATACTGCAGACCAGTTATTTTCGGATTATGAGAAGTTTGAGACTATTCAACGGAACAGTATGCCTATAAATGACTACATCACCGCTTTCGAGAGTGCGAATCAACGATTAGTGAAACATGGGTTGGAATTACCTGATGGTATCTTAGCTTGCAAGCTATTACATTGTGCTGGTTTGGATGATCGCGATAAAAAGTTGGTTTTGTCGGCGACAGGAGACATCCAGTTTGTTAACATGAAAAAGAGTTTGAAGCGTATTTTTTCCACTGAAGTTTCTCAGAGGAACTCGTGTGCTCCGGTTGTGAAAGATGAGCCGGTTTTTGCTGCAACAGGTGGTTTTCAACCAGGAGGATGGCAAAACCGTGGGGGACCACGGAGAGGAAGAGGAGTTCGTGGTTCTTTCAGGGGTGGAAGTTCTGGACGTCGAAATACAGCTGGGTCAAATCCCGTGGATAGAAGTACTGGAAAAATCAGTGTTTGTACCAACTGTGGTTCACGGTTCCACTGGGTTCGTGAGTGCCCTGATAAAGAGAAACAAGTTTTTGCTTCACAGGCAGAAACAGAAGAAGACGAAAAGGTAGATGAGACAGTTTTCTTGAATTTTGCGATGCTCACTGCTGCTCTTCTGAACGAAGCGTTTGGCAAGGCGGTTCTAGATTCAGCGTGTACTGCAACTGTGTCTGGACAAGTATGGATGGAAAACTATATTTCCCAGTTGCCGGATTATTTACAAGCTTTAGTTGAGCGTGAAAAAGTCGATACCCATGTTGTGTTCGGTGGTGGTGAGCGGATCAAAGTTGAACATAAGTGTTTCATACCTGTTAAAATCGGCAATGTTACTTGTTTTCTCGGAGTATTGGTTATTCCCGGTCAGTTGCCGTTATTGATTAGTGTTGCGTCGATGACTAAAGCAAGATTTAGTATTGATTTTCACACCAGTATGTTGAGTACATCAGATGGAGGAAAAATCCAGTTACAATGTTCGAAAACTGGACATTTGTTGCTGGATATCAGTTTTGGAAATGAAGAGTTCTGTTGCCTGAGTTCTGGTAATTTGAACTCTCAGCAAGTTATGAAGTTACATCGTCAGTTTGCTCATTGTGGTTCGACCAGACTAGAGAAGCTAATAGCTAAATCTGGTGCTAAAGTAGTGAATTGCACCGTTGCTGAAGTCGTACGTGACTGTGAAGTTTGCCAGAGGTTCGGACGAGCTACTCCGAAGCCAAGTGTGTCTTATCCTATCAGTATGGAATGGAATAATACTGTGGCTATGGATTTGCACGAGATGGCCCAGTCGGGACACACTTTGTGGTATTTACACGTGATTGACTTGTTTAGTCGTGTTAGTGCAGCTGTGTTCATTACAAACAAAAGACCGAGTACAATTATTGAAGGTTTTCTTCGTTGTTGGTGCTTGGTTTACGGATATCCGAAAGCTGTTTTAACTGATAATGGTGGTGAGTTTGACAATGCTGATTTTCAATCATTTGCTCAAAATAATGATATTATCGTGAAGACTACGGCAGCTTTTTCACCCTGGTCCAACGGCGTTGTTGAGCGGCACAACGCAGTTCTTACAGACATGCTGGAGAAATTACTGGCCGATGAATCAGTTTCTTTGAGTAAAGATATTGTTTTACAGCATGCCGTTTTTGCTAAAAATAGCTTGGCTAACAACGATGGCTTCTCACCGTTTCAAGTCGCGTTTGGTTTTGGACCGCATGTCCCATCTGTTCTTACCAATAAACTGCCAGCTTTGGAATGCGAGACCACTTGCGAAGTTGTAGCGCAAAACTTGAATGCGTTGCATAAGTCTAGAAAATTATTTATCGAAGCTGATTGCAGTAATCGCATCAGACGGGCTCTCAAAGCCAAAGTAGTGACTGACAAAGGGCCATTTGTTACTGGGAATAGCGTGTTTTATAAAAGGGACGGAGAACTGAAATGGCGAGGTCCTGCAAAAGTTATCGGTCAAGAAAGTAGTGTTGTTTTTGTGCGACATGGTGGCCGTGTTGTAAAAGTACACACTTCGCGATTGAAACGATGTGCAGATCAGTTTCAACAGATGTCAGAAGCAGAAGCTGGATTCGAGGAGAAAAAGGAAGTTTTTGGCGACAGTGGTTCAACAGACGCTGATCGCCAGGTTGTTGTTGATGAAATTGATGATGAAGGCGAAAATACAGCTACAATTGAACCTGGTATCGAAAAAGGACTCCGTATTGATGTACCAGGCGATACAGCAGTTAATTGTGTTCCAAACGACGTTGCTGAGACTATTTCTGAGGATTTATCACGAGAGTGCTTGAAACCTGCCGCTGGTCGACGGATTCGTTTTGTTTCACGCCAATCTGGGTTTGAAGGAGAAGAAATTGAAGCGATTGTCAAAAGCAGAGGAGGAAAGTCGACAGGTGTTCATAAAGACTGGTGGAATATTGTTTATGAATCTCCCAAAGAAATTAAAGGGAATTTGGATTGCGTTGACGTGTCAAAACTGGAGGATGTAGAAGTCAGTGCTCTGAACGCGACTGCAGATGTCTATTTTGAAGCGAAAATGGATGAAATGAAGAGTTGGAAGAAAAACGAAGTATTTGAGGAAGTTATCGACGAAGGGCAAGAATATCTGTCCTGCAAGTGGGTGCTCACTCAGAAGCCAGATAGAAAGAAAGCACGACTCGTAGTTAGGGGTTTTGAAGATCCAGATCTTCATAACGTCATAAAGGATTCTCCGACTTGCTCCAAAGATACTTTCAGGATAGTAGTATCACTCTGTGCCTCCAAGGCGTGGAAATGTAATTCGATGGATATAAGAACGGCGTTTTTACAAGGAAAACCTCTTACCCGTGATGTATATGTTATGCCACCGCCGGAAGTTGGATTATCGGGGAAACTCTGGAAATTACGAAAATGCGTTTACGGGCTTGTTGACGCGGCTCGACACTGGTATGATAAAGTTAAAGACGAAGTATTGGCCACAGGATGCTGTGTTTCAGAGTTTGATCCGTGTTTGTTTTACAAGAAAAATCAAGCGGGTGAAATAGTTGGACTGTTAACTACCCATGTTGACGATTTTTTGTGGGCTGGCACCGAACAGTTTGAATATTCTGTGATGAAGTCGCTTGACGTGGTTTTCGACATCAGATCGACAGAGACAGCTCCATTTCGTTATCTTGGGTTTGACTTATCGCAAACGGAAAGAGGAATTAAACTGGACTTATCCTCGTATGTAGAAGAATTGCGGGAGATTATTGTGCCAAAACATGATTTTGTGGTCAACAAGTTTGCTAGGCGTGATATGCGTGCTATTCTGGGGAAGTTACAATGGGTCGCATCACAGGTTCGTCCTGATGTGTCTTTTCAAGTATGTCAATTGCTTGGTTCGTCCAAAGATTGGCAGCGCTCACATTTCTTAGCTGTCAATAAAATTGTGAGAAAATTGAGGTATTCTGCATCTGATTCATATTTGATGTTCGAGAATCTTGGAAGTGCAGATGAGTGGAAACTGAACGTTTTTACCGATTCTTTTCTTGGAAATTTGCCTTGTGGTGGCACCCAGTCCGGTTATTTGGTCTTTTTACAGGCGTCTGACAAAAGACCTGCTCTTTTGAGCTGGAAGTCTCAGAAACTGAGACGTGTTGTCAGGAGCACTTTATGCGGAGAAACAATTTCTTGTGTAAATGCAGTTGATGCTGCATTTCTTTGTCAAAAGATTATTTCTGAGTTAACGGGGGAAAATGTCAATATTCGAACATATACGGATAATCTTTCTTTAGTGCAAAACGTTTTCTCAACGAAAGTTCAGAAAGACAAGAGACTGAGAGTGGATATAGCGTATTTGCGTTCTTTGATCAATGATGGAATTCTACACCAGTTAAAATGGGTTCCTACAGACGAGGAATTGGCAGATTGCCTAACAAAGTTATCTCCAAAGTCGTCGGAAAGTTTGCAACAATTTATGTTGGGCCAGAAAAGTATTTAGTTATATCGAGTGACTGCTCATGATAATATTTTTCTTGCCACCAGAAAGTCTCCGTATAGCACTTGTTATTCCTTTCTTGAGTTATTTTCATTACTCTCTTTTTGTTC